GCAAGCTCATACAGAATACGATTAGCAAATTGTTTGACCGTCACACTATCAACCAAAAGACATAGAAAACATCGGCTATTAAAGGGAGAATTCGTAGAATACATTTTAAAACCAAGAAATATTTTTAAGCAATGCCGGAAGAGTACAGAATGAGCTTGAGGGTGCTGTTATCTACAAATCGTTAGATTAGGGCTTGAGGAGTGTAATATGAATAAAGAGGCTGGATATAGAGCAACAGTTTACGAATTGTACTGAAGAGGTTGTCTATGGAGTTAGGCATGGAAGGAAACTGATAGAGAAACGTCAACTTGACACGTAATAGGCCAAAGCACATGTTTACATATATAATCAAAGGTTACCCAATCCGAACATTAATTTCTTGGATAAAAAAATTAATGCGCCCATTGTAGGCACTGATTGAGGGTGAGGAACCTAAACATGCGTCTACTTTCACAGGTTCCAACGCATATTTTGCAAATATTGTTTTTTTAGAATGAAAATAACTTTCTACTTGATTAGAAAACTTTATATTTTGTAATCCGTTCCGTTTCCACGGTTTACATGTTTCCACATCCGGTAATTTTTATTTCGTATTTTTTTTTCACTTGAAGACCTAAGTACGACAAAAAAGAAATGTTTACGGTTGACCATAAAAGTGACGATTTACAAAGGTAGCCTTTCAGCTAGCCCCTTTGAACCTGCATGCGTAGGTGGAAAATAGCACTGCTGCAAAATGAACTAAGCAAACTGTCTCCGCGTTGCCTGATGTATAGCATGCGACCTTCGACGCCGACAGACACGTCGACCGACCAGGTCAACAGATAAAGTCAAGTAGCAAATGGTTGTCTACATGCGCTTAGTCGCTGGGACTTCCCTGGACGGCAAAATAAAGTACTAATACGCATGTGGTCGTATGGCATCCTGAACTTTCGTTTTAGCACCGTTGGATGAATATACAGGCAATTTGACTTCAAATCGAATCGCGTCTGCATCGATCAATCTTCGTTATTTCTTTAATGGTTTCGATTGTCGTGGACATATTAGCCGTTGGGGGATACGAGGCCGGTCCTGTGCACATATAATTTGGATTTTCAATACTGCTCTAGTGCAGCTATATGTGTCGAATTCGTAGGATAATGCAAGGCACCAGTCTTAATTTACGATTTATTCTTTAAGCGAAATAATTACGACTGATACTATAAGAGCTGGCGGACATAATTATAGTCATGATGATCATTACCGGCAAAGACAAAGTCGACCCAAATGCGTATTTCCGGCCCATTTACCGTCACAGGCCTAGGCCGACGGCAATGCCTATACGGCTATCGAACCCAGAACTGTGTTGTTAGAGGACGCTATTAGGGGCACTTCCACTTCCGCGGCCGTCCCCCACGCCAGGTGGTGATGACACATCCCTACCACACCCTAGTCACAATCGTTGGCTGCCTGCATATTACAGTAATTATCACTTTCACTTACTGACCAATGATTAATGCTGACAACCTATTCTCATCTCCTCCCCCACGTCCTCTCCCCTCTCACCAGCGCAAATACCTCTACACGCCAAGCCCGCGAAGCGTGCGGCGTAAAACGACGAGTTTAAATGAAAGGACCCTTATTAACCCTGTCCAACTGTCTGATTTTCATTGTCCTAACAACTGCACTAGCCTGATGATTTATTTCTAAAAATACATATCTGCAGAGTAATGGTTGAAAGAAAAACATGAGAATATTTGCAGAACGTACAATGCTTGCTGCAATATATAGCGACTGTAGTGCTGTAGGGAGTCTTATTCTAGGTTCCACATAAGATGGGAGGAAATATTATGTAAGCATACATTAACGTGGAAGTGTAACTGAATATAAAACGGTAAATGTCTCTCAATTAACAGCCTTAAAGCGTTGTCTTAATCAAGTTTATTTGCTAGTCTGTATCACGTTAATTATTCTATGCACCGGTAGGAATCACCAGGCGTTTGCGGTCTGCACTAAAATTTATATTTCTTTGTGAGCGGTCCGATGTCAGAAGTGGAACACTTCTAACACATCACTCCTTACGACACCGTCCACCAGGCGACTGCTAGTTTTAGTTTTAGTTCGTCTTATGGCCACGTGAACACACTAAAAAAGCGCTTCACTCTCGTGTGAGGGCGCGAACACAGGATATGTTAATCAGAAAGCCAGCATTGTATACATTATGGCATGGGATAATGTTGCTTCTAATTCAAGTGGGAATTATTGGCATATCTTGATGAATACCCACTGGCCGCCTATGAAATTACTCTTTGAATGGCATGTCAGCCAGTAACCGTTTATATATAATCCCATATTTTACATGATGATTGCTCAATCATTGAGCTGTCTGTCACTGTTTACTAATTATTTATACCCGTGTGCGCTAAGTAAGGCTGGCTTCCCGAAAAAAGTCAACTGGTCCTTCAAACTGGTACGCAGACTTAAACTCCCGTCCAGCCAAATGAAACGCATACCATAAAACTGTTCTTTTTTTAAAAAGAGTCTATATCCGACAGTCAAATGCGCCGCCAACGAATTCAGTCGTGAATTACTGCGCGTTGGGTTATATTAGAAGAAACATCTTAAAACGTCCACTGATGTATTTGACCGGCAAGAGTTAGCATGCAATAGGCATTTGTCCTCGTAGGTACACAGTTGTCAAGTCCAGCATAACCATTATCATCTTTTTGGATATATCACCGTAGGCAGACGTGATGTCTTCCAATTCCTGCCTTTCAATGCTTTTGATGGACACAGCAGTGATGATACAGTCAGTTTGACTATGCTCGTCCGTGCCGGTCTGTCCAGATATATCTATTACTGTATCTGCAACATGTTTTTCCATGGTACGCCCTGCGCGCCCCGACCCGATCATATTCTGCAAAGACAAAACGAAAACCATATTTTCTTAATTATTATGAGAATAAATATAATGCAGCAGACATATTAAATATCAAAGTAAACTAACTGTAGATGTTATGTATAAGACCACGGGTACTCGCACATCTGTTATATCATAATTCCTCTTTTTATTCCTGTAGACCTGTGAATAGGTGCGATTGGAAGATACTTTGCCGAAACCCATGCACAAAGACAAACTTCCTCTTTGTAGTGCCCGTGGAATAAGAGTCGCGTTCAGGGCAGATATGCTCTGCAATAGAAATATTGTGGCATGCATTTTTTCCAGGGCAATATAATTAATTTGAAGGTGGGTGTCATAATCCGGCGTTGTCACTTGGGTATCTGAAACATGAAATTCTTACATGAACAGGCATGACCATATGATGGCATCTGAACACTTTTATATATGTTTCTTATAGTAAGCTAATACAGAGGTCGGTTTGGCAAAATGCGCACAATAGGGAGTCAGGAATGGACAGCTACGAGTTCGTCTTATTCTTCACGCATGCTAACATGAAGTAGTCTAAAGAGACTGCGAACGATGTAGAATTCGTGTAATATTTAGACATATGCAACACACTGCTACTTTTTCGCTAAGTTATATTGATTAAAGTTGTAATAAAAGTCACCGTGAACGCTATTCAGAAGACACTGCGGTCACGATACGATACGAGGTATTTTAACAAGCTTCCATCTCACCACTAAAAACAATGTGTGTACTGCAAATATTGTCTACTGAAAAGCGTACATTGTATAGCTGATGTTTTTGCCTTTATACATTTAATAATATATTATGGAAAAAATAAAGGAATAGACAATTTATTGTACTCTTTTGTGGAAAATTACACCTTTTTAATCTTTTTTAATTAAAGATCGGATATATTTTCGGTATAAACAAAACATTTCTTAATTGCAAAATAATTGTTAAACCTACTGACTGCTACACTTCAATTCGAAGTTAAAAAACTGCGCGCTGCATGCCTTATTTTTTTAAAACAAAAGTACGCTTTTGTGTACGGTTTGAGGAAGATGTCATACAGTTCTTATAAATTATTGCAACGGATGTGGAAAATGCTGCATACATTATATACAACGTTAATTATCCGACGTATGTGATATTTACTAATGATTAACTCAATATTGCAATATAAATCATGAGTTGCAACTTTTTGAGACCGAAAAATGTCCTCTCTTTTTCTTCCAAATTTAAAATTGGCGCAATGTGCTATTAAACGACTATAAGAAGTAGTCTTGTTTTTTAGGATTTCCACAAAGCATATATGAACTTAACAAAAGCCAGTCACAATCAATGGTAACAATGCAATCGAATTTATTAACTACTTTTTTTCAGTAAACACCTTCTGCTCGCGGTCAGAAGGAAGCTCGTTAAATAGCCGGCATCATGTCATGACTGAAATGCCTTCAGAATAAACTCCACAATAAACAATCTTGGAAAATTATTCAATAATAAATTATGAAACTGTATCAATCTTTCGCATAAGTACACGAATTCTATGGCGTTTTTTATAAGTGTGTGAGCTTGTTTATTATTTATAATATTTATTTAGTTGACGGCGTGAAATTTGGGAACGATTTTGTGATCAGGAGTTTAAAACAAGGTGCTTAATGTATTTTAATCAAAAATACCCTCTCAACTCTCCAGGTAGCTAGAACAATTATTGAAACAACAGTCAAATTCCACTATTTAAATAGAAACAGTACCGCGCGAAAATGGTAAAAAAACCTGAAACTATTTGTCTACTTCAACTGGTGAAGACACGGTCATATACTTACTTCAGTTTAGCTTTTGGAGCAGGTAATACATTAGTATCATTCAATAGGAACGAATCGCGCGGCATTATTGGTTGTATACTAGTAGTCCGTCAAAGGGCATTTCTTTTTTCTGGTGTTCTCCTTGTCGCAGTAGCGTTACATGATATACTGGAAACTATAGATGTAAATCCCCAAAGAATGCGGATCTTTAGCCTTTACACTACTGTTGGCATATGTGGCCATTAGGCATTGTAGTCGGTCCATTTGAAAAACAAGAAACTCAGCCCCATTCCGGTGAAACACTTACTAATTGAACACTTCACTACCAAGCGAGGCCACTTGTAAAATGAGGTGGGTTCTTCTATTTTACTTGATACACTCGCCAAGCTAAGTCGCTTATACACATTGCACGTAAATCTTTCTAATTGTCGCGTTTATTCTTAACTGCATACTTATATTTGCGTCTAAAACAATTAACCTCTTAATACAGTCGCTTAGCTAATTCGAAATACTTAAGCAACACAGCTATTTATGTGTCTTTTAGTTGAGTAAGATCGCATCAAAGAATAAGGCACCTAATTGAAGCATATAGAGCAACTAGATGAGCAAAACTGCTAAACATGTGTTACATATGGAACTATAGGTGAACCTCAGGAAAAAAAGTAGCCTTCACCCACAAACGTAAACGCACCTGTCCCTGAATTGCAGGCAGCCGCAACCTTTAGGAGAAACGGTATTGCATAATTGATTAAGTTCATCGCCTCTGTTGCGATTGCTTTTTAAAATGATACGATGGTCTGCAGAATGCATTATTTAATATGTGCCTTATGTGACGAGACAATGAATTCATGCATTGCTGGGGTAATTTGATAGGTGTAATTCAGAGGCAAATGGGAACGAATAAGACAATAGAAGAGCACCCCTTTTGTGCAGACACACGGCATCAGCCTACTGACACAGACAGCCACGCGTGACACTCCAGACGCCTGGTCTACTCGCCGCCAGTCGCCAGAGCATGCTGAACGACTCCTCACCCACCTCCCAAATGACTAACCACATTTCTTCTCATTTGTGGCTTGCGGTGTTAGCTGTCTAGCAACGTTCACAATTTGGTTGCCATGTATTAAGTTCTCAAACGAATTATTTGCTTGAACCCCTCAAATATAAGATATAAATTTAATATGGAGTATAGCAAGGAACAATCTTTAAAGTGTATTACTCAATTTCATGGAACAACGCTTGGCAGATTTGCAAAATATATATTTTTTAAAACTTATTTCGTACTTTATTTCCCAAAATTAATGCGTTATCTCTTAATTACACTAATCCAATTTCATGGACAAAAAAACAAAATTTTCCGTTTACTGAACAGATATAATTTCAGAGTTTCTGCTCTCCATGAATGTTCTTTTATAGTGCAACAAGCACACACGGAAAGTTCTTTTCCGAGCGTTTGATAGCGTAGGAAATTGCTCAGATATCAACAAACGCTTGATTTCGCCCATTTTAGTTTCTATTTTCTCCAAGTATTCTGAATTGAACTGAATTATATTTTAGTAAAAAAAATGTAGCGCCTCAATTTCATCTAGTAAACTAAATAAGCAACATCATGCGTGTGTCAACTTCACTCCCCAACCTTTAATCAGATAAGAAATCTACTGTAAGTGGACCACAAATGAAAGCAGCAGTCATGGGATCATCCACTTCACTTGCCAACCGAATTGAATGTGTGAATGAACGGTTAGCGGCCATGGAAGACAGCTAAGATCAACCTATCGGGATTGGCCTATAACTGCGGAACACCATAAGCTCCAAAGTTTGAAGAACCACCTCTCTGATGAAGTCTGACATCAGCGAGGGTATTGTAGTTCACTTGAGCTGTTCATATGTTGTTAATTTAAAAGTGAAGTACGTCCTTAGGCAGCATTTTGAGAACTGGAAAATTGTTCTCCGATTCATCGACTCGCAAGCCTCTTCATTCCGGATGGCTCTTCGTACATTCCTGAGTGAATATATACCTGATTTCCAGTAACAGAATATAGTAGGTGTGACGCATTTCTGAAGAGTTGTTCGAGTTGGCAATTGTTTAAAATAATACAAGAACACATTCCAAAATAGTAAGGGAAGGGTCACCTAAAGGGTAAAATAATTCCATTCTAGCATACGTGGTAGACTCCGGCCATCGGGTGTTTGCCAAAGAAGTCTTCCGAGTGATCTGCAAGCTCCCCTCAGGTTACTCAAAATTTCTTGGACAGCGTCTGTTGGCTACGCCGATCGATCCTGTGTGCCCAAAAGAACTTCGTCACGGAGCCGAAGTTACCATGGTCAATAGCTGCTAATCCAACAGCAAGCAGCTTAATATGTCAGCCGACTACCAGTTCCTCCTAATGCTGAGCAGATTTTGACGCCCCTTTCCTCTACCCCATTACCCCTGTCCTGACAACAGTTCTACATCTAAATTCATTCGAATGAACTGGAATACGCACATCCCCATCTCTCATAAATGGAGTGCCGTCTAAATTTTCTAAATCGAGCAAAGACACACTGT